TCAATTATAACACAATGTTTCTTTAGTCTATTCCCCACCACTTTTATATTTTTCTTTGTTGTATATATATAGATATATGATTCTTGCCATTTGTATGTATCCAACTGCGATTTATATTACCACCCCCCCCCCTGCTTTTGAGCTTAGGCTCACCATTTAAATTTTATTCACTGCGACGAATGAGTTAGGGCCCCTTCGGGGCCGACACTTAGGTAAAGACTTGACATAGGCATAGGCCATTTGTATGCTAGCAAAATTTCAATAAAAATATACATCGACTTATTGGGAATTTTGAATGTATATGCTCTCTAACTACTGTGGAATTTCCGTAGTTTAAAATTACTTTTCTATACTATACCTTTTCCTTGTGATAGGAAAGGTAATTTCAAATGATATTAATCGCCACTATACATAAAAACAGGAATGAAAAAAATTTAGATTAAAGGATGGCAATTGCATATTCGCTTGCAACATTCAAAACCAGATTTAGCCGTTCAATACCTTCTTCGAGGGAGGAAGACAAAATAATTATGCCATCTAAATATGGTAAAACTATACCCTCATTGATAAAAATTCGGAAAATGGTGTTAATGAATATTTGAAATACGGCGGGAGAGTTGCAGAGTACAAAGGGAACCTTAAGAAATTGATATTGATCTTCATGTGTCACAAATGAAGTGTATTTTCTACTATCTTTATTAACATCGATAGGTAGAAATCCGTTCTTAAGATCAATTGTACTGAAAATTTTCGAGCCTTGTAATCTATGTAAAATGTCTTCAACTAATGGGAAGGAAAATCTGTCTTTCACAATCAGTTTATTTAATTTTCTGTTATCTATACACACACGAGGAGATAAGTCTTTTTTCTCAACGATTACAACGGGGCTACATTGGTCTGAACTAAGCACCACTATCCCTTGCTTCAACCATTCAGCGGATTGAGCTTCGACAGTTTTTTTTTTTTTTTTTTTTTCAGAAAACGGCGATCTACGTGGCTGAAGAAATATCGGTTCCTGATCCTTAACTAAAATATTTATTTCCACATTTGTTGCCTTAAGTTTATTTGGCACATAATCTAAAACTATTTGTTGTAACTTATTTTTTAAATCATTAGAAACACTAGGATCTATGTTAATATCAATCTCATTAGATGTAGTAAGATCGATTTGTAAAATAGACAAATGGTTTACTTCAGTGTTTCCCAAAGTGTGGTACGCGTACCCCCAGGGGTACGGGAACAGTTTAGTGGGGTTACGAGTTTTTATACGAAATATCTTGCAACAAACGAGAATTTCAAAAACTTTTCTTTAAAAACAAAGCTAGCCATGGAAATTTACGATTACGTATTTTTCTATTGGCTATTTTTTGCAGAGTTAACATTCACTAATTAGTGGTGTCAACAGCCAGTTGTGATTTTTAAATGGCAATTCGGGCAAATTTTTTATAGTAAGAAATACATTCATTTTTTTATTAGTGGTACACAGCATTACGAAAAATTTAGAAATGGTACACAAAACTCATAAGTTTGGGAAACACTGGTTTACTTCATCAAAACACTGATTGAACACTATTGTGATATCCTTTTCATTGATAAGTGTTTCACCCTGCGTTAAAACATTAACCCTTTCGCGCCGACTGTCACAAATACGTGCAAGCATATAACCGTATCAATCAGGGCAAAAAGATAAAACTGGTAATCAAAGTAGTTTTTTGGTAGTTTATTTGTGGGCGGGGTTATAATTGTTTGATTTCTTTAATTCACCATTACTTAGTTTAAAATAAAACTATTTAGTTATACTTTGAAGTAACAATGATTATATATATGATTAAACTAGCAATAACTAAAGTAAAAGCAAAGTAAGTCTATCAAATTAGCAATGTCTGCATTTAAGTTACCGTTTTTTATTTATTTATATTCAGATGCTAAATTGAAAAAAATTATTAAGGGGCCCAGAGACTCTGTATACAAACTGCTTATATTTTTTAATTTTACTGTAATTTCACGATGAATGGGATATGGGTCTTCTGCGCGGCCCAGGTGCCCAGCTTTTGTTAAATAAAGTAAGTAAGGGGACCAAGTAAGGCAGTTTGAGACATCATGTTAATTAGGGGTCAGTTAAGTGTATACTTACTTGTCCATGAGCCATAGCACCAACAACTATAACAATAGGTTCATCTGGAGGAACTAGATCACGAGGGTGAACAATTTTCTCTGAGGAAAAAGATTCTGATTTTGTACGATGCTTTTATGAATCACCCGTCCCCAAGGGGTTAAGGCTTATAATAGCATCACATCATTTTCTACAATACACATTTCAGCAGAACATTGGAAATCATCAATTTCAATATTTTCTTTGAAATTACCTAACAGAGTAACTATTGATTTACCAAATCCGTTTAGAGTAGAATTGACTGGAAATAGTTCTTTGGAATTTAATTTTTTAATACAGATTTTCTGATTAAAGTGGCTTGACGTCCAGTATCAATCAAAGTTTTCACAGTTAAGTTATCAATTATTACCATTTTATATAGTTTTGTTTTTACACTAACATTTAAAGTAGAAACTTTTGTTTTTGTATTTCATTTTGGACATTTAGAAGCTTTGCTTAAACGCTTCACATTTAAAACACTTTAAGCCCTTATCTTTATGTGTGCAATATTTTTAAATATGATTTCTTAAACCACAATTGTAACAAACCTTATTATTAAAAGTTTCAGCAACTGCATTATATCTTATTTTTTTCATTATTATATTCATATTTATTTTTATTCAAATTTGTAACCATTTTTTTTACATTAAACTTATCGTATTCTATTTTTATTCTATCATAAAAATTATATTTACTATCAAAGTCATGTTTTGTTTTGATTTTATCGAAAGTACTTTTACTCTTTGCAGAATCACTTTTTATTATTTCATAAACTTAAAGTTTTTCTTTAAATTCAGACAAAATTTTGAAGCCGTACAAAACAGTTTTGTTTTCCTGTTTATCGTTAATAACCTTAATTACATAACGCATAAAAGCAGCAGCATCTATTTTTCCAAAATTACATAACTCTTTCATCTTTAAATAATATCTTGAGCGGATTCAGCATCCGTCATTTTACGTTTACTCAAAAGATCACGAAGAAAAAATTCATCAATCAAAGATTCTTTTAATTTTTGCCATGAATTTATTTCTGGTACATTTCTGACAAATGAAGAGGCGTTACAACCAAGAGATCTTTTCGCTAAAAGGAAATTTTGTAAATCAGATAAATTAAATAATATTTTGAAAATATTTGATCCAATAAACAATATTTTCCTGCGATTCTGCATTGAACTTTGAAATAGTACTTTCGATATCAGAATAATTAATAGCAGCAGTTTGAAATTCATAATTTCTGCAAGAATTATTTTTATCACTTATACAAGAATCAAGATTTTTATTTTCAATATTACACTTCGTTGAAAAATCACTTTCATTCTTTTTATTTATCATATTCTGATTAATTTCGTTTTCTCCTTTGTGATTTATTTCTTCTTTTGACTCAGAGCTAGATGCGTTGTCGTCGTTCTCAAGTTCTGCGAGTTGGTTTAAATCCATTAACAAGGTCAAAATATTCTTAGCTACTTCTGTTTTATTACCTTCTAATGAAACATTGATCATGTTAGAAACATATATAATTTCGTTAAGTGTGATTTTTTTCCCAATATCTTTTAACTTATTTTTAAATTCTTTGCTTTCAAATGAGAAATCAAAACCATTAACATTTCTTAGTCGTTTTTGATTAGAACTATCACCTTTTGCATCAAATATGAATTTATGCAGAAGTTTTACTTTATCTGTTTTGTAATTCCACAATACAATGCTTAGTTCTTTAACACTTACTCAGGTGTAATGAAAATGGAAATAATAGAGAAAATACATGCAACTATTTACATATTTAAAAAATAGAGATTGCCAAAAAACTGTCTGCGACAAAGAAAATGTTATGTAAGGGATAGATGGATCGGCAACTACCTTCTCTGTGACTCTGTTATAGTTGATGACCCAGTCGTCCTGGTAATACCACTCGTTTCTGAGTTGTTCTTTCCGTTTGCTGTGGTCATTAGATTACTCTCACTTTTTGGTACTTTTTTTGTAGACCACTGGTAGCCCTGGATGCGTTTGCTCTTAATTAGTTAACAGGGTGCGTGGCCAAATTATTCTACAAAAAATAAGCACTTTTCAAGAACTCAAAAAATATTTTTAAGCACTTTTAAAAAAATATCATATTTAGGCAGAGTTAGAAAGTTTTGACAATTGACGGCTTTATCTTGCTTTAACGATCATGTCAAAAAAAAGAATTAAAAATTTAAAAAAACATAATGGCATTGTTTTTGACAACTGTCAAAAATCATGAAATTTTGAATCATGTGAAACGAATGGCGCTATTGACTGACAATAGGCCGAAATAGATTGGGATTAAATTAATTGAGAAAACATTGAATAGAACAATGAAAACAGTGTCTTTTTGCGCAATTCGTAGCGAAAATCAACATGGTTAAGGAAAAATATTTTCTAATAGGGAAAATTAAGCACTTTTTAAAAACACCCAATGAAAAAAGGGCTTTTAAAAAACGAAAGGCCTTAAGGGCTTTTAAAAAGCGAAAATAAGCTCCTTTAAGCACTTTTTAAAAACGCTGCGCACCCTGGTACTACGAGAAAACGTTGAATAGAACACTGAAAACAGAGTCTTTTTGCATAATTCGTAGCGAAAATCAACATGGTAAAGGAAAAATCTCATTTTCAAAAAGGGAAAATTAAGCACTTTTTGAAAAAAACCGAATGAAAAAAGCACATTTAATGGCTTTTAAAAAGCGAAAATAAGCACCTTTAAGCACTTTTTAAAAACGCTACGCACCCTGGTATTTATTACTACCTTCAGTTTTAAAGAAATCGTATTTAACGAAACTCACTGTGTCTTGAGAGACTATCCAATACTTAAGTTTGACCCATTCATATTTCGTTTCAGCTTTATCAAGAAGCTATTCGTATGAGATCAGATTACATAGAAGCTTATATCAATCGAGGTGACATTTTAATTCGCATGAATAGGTAAATATTTTGTTAATTTTTTTTAAAAATGTTTCGTTTTGGAATATTAGAGAGTTAAACTTTTGTTTTCTCTTTACAGAACTCAAGAGGCACAAAATGTGTATGAAAAAGCCCTACACCTTGATGAAGACAATGCCGACATTCACTATAATGTAAGTAATACTTATAAATATGGTAACAAATAAAATAACAGAGAAACTTAAAAATAATGAAACGCAATATACTAGCTCCACATCTATAGAAACAGACTTTCTGTTGTGGGCTGTCATCGTAGAAAGGGCCAAATATATAATACTAAAAGAAAGATTGTTTACATACAGTTAGTATAGAAGTGTTTCCGTAGTTTTGTACAGCTCCTGTATTTTTAGGTGTCCGACTACTTTTGACCAGATATTCTGATGGATACGAATGTCTGTTGCTGAGTCCTTCTCTTTGCTTACAAATTAAAAAAAGTACCTCTTTTTTATTTCTTTGATCAAAGTGCACAAGAAAATACAAGAGTTTTAGGGTTAAATGTGTTAATGAGAAACAAAGTACTTATTCTAATATGCTTTCTGTTGTTTCCAATTATAACTGAAATAATTGATTAAGCATCTATTAACCTTATATTAAATCTGCGTCACGTTGATTCTCCAAGAGGGTGTTTTACTTAAAAACGATTTTTTATTGTTTTTCTAGATAAATCTGTTGACGATCTTTAAAAGTATGTGAGAGTATAAAAACTAGTTTTCTATGTAGAGCAATCTTTCCATTCCCTCACTTTCAGTTTTTTTTTTAATTGATTTTTCACTTAGTCGATGAATTTGGAGCACCTAGTACTAGAGCAAATATTTTAATATTAGTTGGAGAACTCTTTCAGGAAATATGATATAAGTTTTATTTTTAGAACCAAACTACACTTCTCATTTTGAGTTTAACTGCATTCGCACTCACCATGATAATATTGTTTTGCATGAAATACTTCTTACATTATTCTTGTATTACCCAGAGACTAATACAGTGCTAACAGAGTTCCTAATCCAAACGGTTATCTACTCCTTCCTCTAAATTTAAAAAATAATCAGAGTTGGGAGGCGGGAATTAGCAAGGATAATGTACTTTTATTTTAATAATTTAGATTTAAAAGAATTTTGTATACCACTGTTCTGTTTTAGTTCGCAACTATTGTAAAGAGTAATTCGCAACAGCTTAAAATAGTTTGGAATCTCTGGTATTAACTTCTGTGAAACTTATTTTCAGTCTTCTTTGTTTTAGTTAGGAGTGGTGCTTTTAGAACAAAGGAAAACAGACATGGCTCTTTTATCGTTCAATAAGGCTTTAAAAATCAACCCCAGGCATGAGGTAAGAATAACTAACAAAATATTTATTGTCAAAAGAGATTAATGTCATATCCTCAGATTTAAGTCTAGTTTCCTTTCACATTTGCTTCTTAGCATTGCTTTTCAAGAAAACCACGGTTTCGATAGATAACTTTAAATCCGTTGCGTCTATACTTCGTGACACGGGACAAAAGTACATTTATTTGAATAATAACTTTGTTATAAATTTTTTAACAACTAAGAGGCTCCGCTCACCAAAACTTGTGATTGCTTCATATTCACCATTCTTCTTTTATTAAAAACCGATATTTTCCAAAAAAAACGAAGAAAATTTGGTTAATAAATGTATATAATTGCTAAAATTTTATGTAAGAACAATATGCTAATTGTAAGAAAATGAACGATTACCTGAATACTAGAAAAAAATTTAAACTTAGGAATGCAGATTGTTCGACTCAATAAGAAGGTTCAAATAAGAAGCTATTTTCTCGTAAACGAGTCTTATATCCTTATAACTACTCAAAGAGGAAACGGTTTTGTCTTTTGTGAATTAAGTTTTTCATATTTTTAAGAATTTCAATATGTATATTAAGATTTATATCTAAGAATATCTAATCGCTCTCTCTTCTTGTTTTTTTACTTTTGACATTAACTCAAGCAGGAACTTATAAAATAAAGGTGTCGAGCGAAATCAAATCTTTTTGCAACAAAAGATTGATACTTTATAGTTTAAAGCAAAAAAGTGAAAAAAAAGCTTCTCGAAATTGCACTTAAAATTGCAATAACTCAGAGCTAAATTCCTCATAGCTGCCAACCCAGGAGCTCAATTTATAACACTGGTAGCGAAGTAACAATTCAATAATAATTTTTTTTTCAATTGCAAGCATCACATCTAGCTTATCAGGGTTTTTATATACAGCTTTGATATATTCTTAAAGATAAAACTATTTTAAATAATAAGTCTTAAATAATAAAATATGAGGCTGAAACCATACTAAACATGCCTCTGTAATGGGAAACAGAAAATTATTCTAAGAAGATAGGTTTATTAAATTTAAGTTATATTCAAATAAAGTAAATTTATTAAAGGTGAGTTAGTTAATATAAGTAAAATTCCTTGTTTGTTGTTTGAGTTTTTAGAGTTTGTAAAAGAAGTGGTAATACATTTTTCAAGATGCTGATAAAAAATGTATAGGTCTTAATTTCATTGTAATTTTAGAAATTTAGATTGGCAGTTTTTACATCTAAATTTATTTTTCTAACTTTTTCAATATCTGTTGTTTGTTGCAAAGTTGTTAAATTATTCCGATTACTTAAACGGTTTCTACCAATTCTCATTTTTTTTCTTAATGGAATTCCGTAATTGCATTCCCTAATAAAATTTTTCGTAACTGTACTATAGTTTTATAAAATGAATACATTTTTGGTTATGTTTATAGCAAGCATTACTAAATTCGGCCATTTTGATACAAGAGACTGGAGGTCCTAACATGAGAAAAACAGCATATCACAGGTAAGGAGATGTAACTTATTTTGTTGGGTAACCACGGGCCCTAAAAGTTTAATAGTGTCATTAAATCCAGTATACTTTTTTTAAGAAACCACTTTAAATTTATAACAAGACGGAATTTTCTTACTTTTTTAACCCTTTGCACTCGAGAGGTGACTGTCAGTCACCAATGTCAACTGTATTACTTTAATTGTGAAATTTTTTTCAACTTAATGTTTAGTTACCACTTCATTCATTGATCTCCGGATATAATACGGTAAGTTTGTAAAAAATCTTTCATAACGTTAGTGGTGGCGTCCATTTTTTTTATAACTGATGAAAGAACTTCGAGTGCAAAGGGTTAATATAACAAGTATTATCTCCTGTTAGTTAACACTTTTTGAAACTTTCAAGGCCCGCGAGAGCTCATTTGTTTGATATCCTCAACGAATTAGTAAAAATCTAACTTTCTGGTAATGAAATTCAGAAAAAGGTATATCAATGGGACCAGGTTTCGTTGCCGTCCTGATATCCCTAATTTTCCTGATGGAAAATTATTTGGTCCGATTTTTAGCTTTCTGTTCTCTACCGATTCATGTGTGTAATATACCTGACCTACGAATGCAAATGCGCACTGTAAAATGATTGCTTAGAATAATCAAAAGATTTGAATTTCCAATCCAATACCTTTTTATTTAAATTAATAATGCCTTTGGAAATCGCGAATTCAAATTAACTATCTTAGGAAGGATCGCGAACTTTGGATGTCCACTATTTATATATGCATCGATCAGGCTTATAAACTTACACCAGACACATCATAGTTTCAGATTTTTTGATTCAGATTCAATCAAAGATAAAGGCAATGGTACAAAATATCACGTAACTTTAAAATTGGATTTTTGTGTTTATAATGAAATATTCTAATATTTTAGATCACATAAAATTTTATTCTAACATTTTGCTTTTTTGCAAAAACGTCATGCTTCGTATCAATGTTTTTAATGTTTGAAAATTCTGTGATTTGTAGATTTTACTCGTTAGCATTGAAATTTAAAAAGTAAGAAATAAATAAGGTAAGGGAAATAAATAAAAATGTTGTCGAATTTGAATCAGAGAACCACAATTAAACTTCATTTTCTTTTCGTAAATTGATAAATAGTATCAATTAGCGAAACAAATAAATCGTATTATTTTTCACCGAAAAACCTCAATGATACTACCTGCTCCGGATTCTGCAGAAGATTTTTTAAAGTGATAGAGAATCGGAAAGTACTCCTGAAGCATTAGGGCTATTTTTGCCAATTTTTTTAAATTCTCATCGCTTTGTAGAAAAAACTAGGTGTTAAATTTTGAATTTGAAATGTGTAATGGTGACAATAATTTTAAATCAGTTTTAGTAAGTACAAAGATTTAAACATCGAAACATAAGTTTTGTTCCATTAGTGAAATCTTGCCCACATATGAAATGCATACCTGCCAACTTTTATTCATTTGGCGTAAAATTTGATTTCTATATTTAAAGTGGTTGTAAAATGTATGTTTTCTATATATTCCTTGCATTTATAAGCTTAATTTATTGTCTTTTTGACCACCATTATTTTTTAAAAAATTACGCATATAAACTAGTATGTTATAGTACTGTGTTAGTCCTCCTAATGCCATTAGTACCAGTCGCCCTAGGGCACAATATCAGATTAAGAGGTCAGGTGCCCGCTAACGCGGGCAGGCACCTTAACAAACCCAGATCGTCGTCGTCTGTGTTAGTCCACATAAACTTATTTAAAATACAGAGTATGTTTCTGCCTAAAATTGTAATTCAGATTCCATTTTACTACCACTGAGGAAATTCATCCTCGAAAGGATTAAAAGTTAACAGGCATAGAAATGTAAGCTATAATCTTTAAAATTTATATTATTTTGTGTCATTTAAAAAATACAGTTTCATTTTTCAATAACAATGAAATTGGAAGCACAAGTATTTCAATATTAGGATTTATTTTACAGAAACGAGATAATTATAATTTATTATTGGTATAAATATTTATATTTAGATCTGAAATCAAAGCAACAGTGCTTAACATATCTTAAGTGGTAGGTAACAGAAAGAAATATTTAATTAGGTATAGTAAATATATAATTATTACGTATTATTTCCACTTACATAACTGCTAACTCTTCCGGCTTTCGTGTAAGATTTTATTTTCCTATTTAAAGTGGCAGCGAAACTCATGTTATTCCATTAAACTTTTTGAATTATAATTATAAGTATAAATGAGTTTGACCACCACTATATATAAACAATTACAACAAATATATAAAAGCATAATAGTGAATACTACAGTGTAATTCAACCCAGTCAAAACGTAAGTGTATTTTTATTAGAAAAATTATTTATCGGTAATTGTTTAATTACCACTTGGAAAATCTATTCCCAGAAAGAATGAATGTTGGCAATTGACTTATATAGAGCCTGATATTAACGAGTTAGATTGGATTTTTGAAACTCAGTACTATCCAAACTAAGCATTTCTTTTTTTAAAATGCGTTTAAAACATTTTCTTTTTTAGTTAAATTTTATATTCTTTTTTACGTCTTTTATGTTTTACATGATAAAAATTTTCTTTTTCAGATTGAAGGCTCTTTTGAAAACGAAAGAAGTGAATGAACGAGTTTATTTTCATTTAGGAATGTTAGCAATGGATGATAAAAATTTTACTCTTGCTGAAAAATGGTTTCGCCGTGCTGTCGAGGTAAAAAAAAATAATACAAAACTGTAACTAACCGTAGGAAGAAAATAAACTGTTATAGAACCTTTTCAAACTTAATTTCGGTAACAGTAATAGAACTACGGCAATCACGAATTAATAAAAGTTTAAACACATATTTGCTTGCAAAAAATTTACGCGTAAATATAAACAGAGATGCCAACTACTTCACATTCGTATTAATATTTTAAAAAAAAACTGTAGAAAACTACGAACTAAAAAATTGATTTTTGGTTATTTTTGTTAGCTTTTTATAAGGTTCACCACAGCTTAATTGTCTTTACATGGGAACTACCCTGTCAGAGCGGTCTCGCTGTTCCGCCAAACACTATATAGGGTTAAAATAGCTGGTTCGAATCTCTCCGTAACCCTAAATGTATCCTAGTGATATCCTTCTCTAACCTGTACTTTGACATAGTTGTATAAGTCGTATTTTGTAATAAGCACGCAAGTATAGGGTTAAAATAGCTGGTTCGAATCTCACCGTAACCCTAAATGTATCCTAGTGATATCCTTCTCTAACTTGTACTATCGGTTTGACATAGTTGTATAAGCCTTTATATGTATGCAGCTCCGGACACGCCAAAATCATTAAAAAAGCGGTAAAGAGCTACAAAGTAAATTTTGCAAGTATTTGACTATTTTTGCTTGCTTTTTAAATGGTACAGCATAACATTACTCTTAATGAGTGGTGAATTATATAAGCTTACGAATTATTTAGAAATAATGGTGGATAAAAATTTACTAAATTGAATTTATTGAACCAAGAATCGCAATTGATAAACTACCACTCTAAAATATATATTTGCTGTCCGGAGCAATTTGGCATCTCTGTGTATATGTAACATTAAATTCATCGTTAAAAAAATTGAAATTCCTTCCTGCGCTTTCACGATATTGATATTTCTATCGCTATTAAAATTTTCTTAAAACAAAGGAGACCTTGTATGTTTTTTTCAACTTTAAAATTTAATCGCTTTTTTCATGTGGATAAAAACTTCTTCAGAAAGAGATGTTTTAAAACAGAAACACGTACACGTGCGCTCGAGTTGTTGGGCGAATGAATAAATGCTCTTTTTGCTTCCCTAAGTAAATCGGAAATAAGAAAAAAAGTTTCTGTCTTCTTTTCTTGAGCTAAAGGTTATTTATCTTCACTCCTTATTTTACTTGATTTTTTGTTTTCGGCCTCTTCGCCTTCTGCGTTGCTGTTTAGTTGCGATGAAGAAGTTTCAAATGGACAACGAATGTTACTTTCGGAAAACACAACCAGGTTCTGCTTCTATCGAAATTTAAAATAATGGCTATTTGGCTGGAGAACACGGACGATGTGATGATTTTTTTTGTAGATAAAACAATCCTATCCTGCTTTACTTTGGTTGTAGTAAACGTTCATTCGCAAAACGTGATGCCCATTTTTCAACTATCTCTATGGGATGAATATTTGTTTCTTCTAGTTATAACTCAATAAAAGCTGTAGAAATATAATTTGAGTAAAAACACATTTTTTTCATTTCATACTAGACATTGATAAATGGCTTAAAAAAAAAAGAATAAATACTACATTCAAAACAAATAGCTATTTTTAAACAATTAATATTCATTAAATTGCATCAATCATAAGAAGACATCAATATCCATCATAACATAAATATTTTATTTCAATTTTGAATAACGTATATTTAACATTTGTAATTTAAATATCTTTAGACTGGAAAATATCCTCTTAATTTAGGCTTATGTACTACTTTTTCATGGATATGGAAATGACATAGCTTGCTCCTCGAGGAAACGAAATGGCATTTTACCCATTCACCAAGAATACATAAAGAACATTGGCATGTAGGTCGTTAAAAAATGGCTGCAAAAGTATGTAAATAGTTAGATGGAATAGATAACTCGCTGTTAGTAATATTATTTCATTTCCAACTTATTTTTGGGAAGAATAAGTTAGAAATTGTCATCTATGACAATGAGGTTTTATTGAGTCATAAAAAACATATTTTACACTTGGTTGGTTGGTGTCGTATCCTCTATTGAATCATATTTCATGGTGTGCTTGAATAGTTTTTGTTATTTCTATGGCACTAAAAGAATACAAATCCTCTTCTGTGGGGTAGTTTAAGAGGTGAAGGCCTGCAGCGACTGCAGGGCAGTTAAAAACATGATATGGTGTCAGTTCCACATTAAGACAGTTGCCACAGTTTTGATATTTTCTAGTCTTATCTGTAGAAATTTTCATGTTTTTATGATGTTTTGTTCTTAGTCTGAGGAGAGTAGTGGCTGTCTTCCTATCGATGTCAAGATTAGTTATTTGATCGTTTTACACTTGAAATCTCTTATAGACGTAACGTTCTTAACACGTTGAGCACCACGTCAGCCATCGGTGGCTGACACTGGACTTTCCATTTAGGCCGCGTTAACCACCGGTGGCTGACACTGAAATTACATTTAGGCCGCTTCAACCACCGGTGGCTAACCCTGAAATTACATTTAGGCTGCGTCAACCACCGGTGCCTGACACTGAAATTGCATTTCTGCCACCGCAATTTCAAAAATTTTTAGGAGAATTAATTAATTTAAATTATTTAAATAAATTTTTATCTTTGAATCTTATCTGCAGAATTACTTAATAGATTTTTGAGTATATTATAGATTGATGTAATTTAAAAAAATAATGGCTATAATACAACAATGGAAACTATTATCGGTGTCAGAAGATATGAAAGAGTAACAGAGATGCTAACTGTTGCTCTGTTAGCATAAGATATTGGGAAGTGGCAAAGAATAGAAAATAAAAAAAATGCACAAATTGTTTTATTTCGCCAATACTTTTTTAATTGCTCACCCTGAAAAATTACGAACTAAACTCTCAAGTTATGTGAGTTCTTGAAAAATTTAAATGTAATGGTGGGCAACATTGCTTTAAATCAAATTTACAAACCAAAAATTCAACATAATTTTTTTTACCACAAGTAAAATTGTTTCCATAAAGTGGAACAAGTTGGCATCTCTGACAGCAGTCACAGAATCAAACAAGTAAAGGGGATTATAAGGAGATTTGGCCACGAAATCTGTTGTAGCGATGGCCAATTTTTGCCAGACTACAGCGCTACCTATAATTATTTTCATTATTGAAACACTGGATGGCAACTTCTTTAGTTTTTCTTCTCTGGTGTGTAGTACGAAAAGTTATGTATATAGTTTTTCTCCGTGTTTTTAATACGTCAATTTTTATTTATTTAGAAGTAAATGAGAGAGGAAGTAAGCTATTTTATCCTTACCCTTCATTGGAGACAACCGGATTCCACCGTTTTGGAAACCGGATCCAAATATATGGTTTCTGCAGTTGGAAGCACAATTCCGAAACGCTTCAATAACTGTTGATCAAACAAAATATGATTATGTCCTAAGCACCATCGAAGCCGAAATATTATCACAAGTGTCGGATATAATGACGAATTCACCTCAATACGGACAATACACTGCAATTAAAGACTGGCCAATCGCTTTGTTCGTAGATACGGAAACTCAAAGGCTGTTAACCGCAGTCGAATTGGGTAATAAAAAACTTCCTCAGCTATTATGTGAAATGAAAAATTTGGAGACTGATAAAGTAACTGAACCGTTTCTTAGAACACTTTGGCTAAGGACAAGGATTGCCCTTAGAAATAAGAAGCATTTTATCAATCAGTAAAGATGATTTAATAAAATTGGCGACAATGGCCGATAAAATGTGGGAAATAAAATCAACACCGTTACAGAGCGCTGCTATTGTTTGTCAGAATAATAACAATGTCATAGTTAAACTACAGGAGAAAGTTTCTGAACTATCACTTCAAATCAACGAATTTAAAAAAGGCAGTACTATAATCAGCCACGATATAGATTCCGCTCTAGTGGTAATTATTGTAATAGACTCAGTAATTCAAACACAGTATATGTCATTATCATTCTAAGTTTGGCGACAAAGCTTTGCGATGCGATAAACCTTGCGATTAGCATAACAAGATCGAGCGTCAAACAAAGGGTGGAACTCTGTCGTCTTTTTATTCGGAACAAAAGAACCGCCACCCATTTTTTAATCGACACAGAAGTGGAGATTTCGATGATATCCACATTACCTCAAGAAAAAAAATATGTTGACAAACTAGAGCTGTTTGCTGCAAACGGAACCAAAATTAAAACTTATAGACGAAAGTTATTAATACTAGATTTGAGAGTGAGACGAGCATTTCATTGGCTTTTTGTTAGCAGATGTTTATAAACCATTAATAGGTATTGACTTTTTGTCTCATTTTCACCTTTTGGTTGACAGTAAAAATGGCAAATTGATGGCACAACATCCCTATCCTGTATTGGTATGCCTTGTTATCGTGTTGATAACCTAACATTAAATGCAGTACAAAATCAAAACGAAGATATTCTTTAACGATTTTCTGATCTATTACGATCAACATTTGTAAATAACAAAATTAAGAGTCGCAACATTGAGTCATAACAAAACTAAGAGTTACAATTTCATAGAATGGAGTTCTTGTTACCGCAAGAGCTAGAAGATTTTCACTAAAAAATTAAAAGCAACAAAAGAGGAATTTAACTTCATGTTGCAACAAGGTCGTTGTAAACCTTCAAAAAGTAGTTGGGTTAGCTCTCTACACCTCACCTTAAAGAAATCATGCGACTTGAATCCTGTGGAGATAATAGGGCCTTTAACAAAACCGCTATTCTTAACCATTTTTCACTGACTGGTTCTATTCTACACGGGAAAAGAAAATTTCGATAGACTTAGTTCGAGCGTATCAACAAATTCCAGAGCCCGATGCCGAAATTCCAAAACATCAATTATTATCCCTTTCGGGTTGTTTGAATTTCCTTTCATGATTTTTGGTTTACGTAACATAGCTTAAACCTTTCAACGATTCATGAATATGGTCTTATCAGGGTTAGAGTTTGCATTCTGCTATGTAGACAAATTGATTGCCTCC